GTAAAGCACGCTGCCACTGGACTCTAGAGCAGTGGAGACGTGTTCTCTGAAGTGGCAAATCGTACTTCTCTGGCAATCACATGGACATGTCTGGGTTTGGCTGTTGCCAGGAGAACGGTACTTGTCTGGCTGCATTGTGCAAAGTGTAAAATTTGGTGGAGGCCGGATTATGGTTTGGGATTGTTTTTCAGGGCTTGGGCATGGCCCCTTCATTTCAGTGAAGGGAAGTCTTAAGGCTTCAGCATATCAAAACATTTTGGGACAATTTCATTCTCCCAACTTTGTGGGAACAGTTCGGAGATGGCCCTTTCCTGCTTCAAGATTACTGCACACCAGTGCACAAAGCAAGGTCTATAAAGATATGGATGAGTGAGTTTGGGGTGGAGGAACTTGACTGGGCCTGCAGAGAGTCCTGACCTCAACCCGAATGGACACGTTTGGGATGAATTAGAGCGAAGACTGTGAGTCAGGCCTTTTTGTCCGCCCTTACAAATGTGCTTCTGGAAGAATAGTCAAACATTCCCATATGCACACTCCTAAACCTTGTGGACAGCCTTCCCAGAAGAGTTGAAGCTGTTGTAGCTGCAAAGGGTGGGCCAACTCCATGGTTAACACTACGGACTAAGACTGGGATGCCATTAAAGTTCATGTGCGTGTTAAGGCAGGTGTCCCAATACTTTTGGCAATAGTGTGTGTGTGCGTGGTGGGAAATGTGATCAAGCTACACCCTTTTCTAGCACACCCAAGCTGATATTGATCTTTATGTATCAACACATATATTTAAAAAGGAGAGTTTTTTTTCTTTCTTATTTTACTGCCTCAAAGACATTCTCACATGTGTGATTAAGACAGTGTTAAGACATAGTTTGGGTGCAGTTAGTAAAAGGAAGATATTACTGCATCAAAACAGGAAGCAGCATGTTTCTACAGAATAATACTTCAAAAACCACATGTCCAGCTAGGAAACCTATTAATGTCCTACTGATACAAACATAGCTAATAATGTTTAAGTTGTAAGTTCAAAATCAGACTCCTTATTCCTTGGTATATTACCTGCATTTTTGTGTTTTCAAACTATTATGAATCAGTATTTTAATTTCTTAGCATGAATTCACTGCATACCATTTTTCATAGTATTGTGGCTCAGAAAGAGGAAACTGTGACATTGTTGTGAAATATTTCCTTCTAGTGTTTATTGCTATTTTTCCTATCCCTTTTTTATTGAAAATAAATACAACTGTATAGCAGTATTGTATGTCTAGGGCATTACCAATAAAAACACACATGTATGCCTAATAATTACCTTTTTATTAGTATTTGAAAACTGTTTAGTTTGGTTTCACTTTCGGACGTTCTGTGTAGTGTGGGGCACAATTCAATGTATAATAAATACCACCCAGATCAGTGTTTCTTAACCTTATTTAAGTTCTTATTAAAAGTATTTTCAGCCTCAAGGTACCCCAGTCTAAGGGCTTGCTCACAACACAAGTTAGAGTAGCATTTTTACCACCCCAAATTGTTCCCACTTTAACTGCAGAGGCATCAGCTGGGGTTGTACACATGTTGTGGCCACAATTCTCTGCTTTGCGGCTGTGGCAGGATTTATACCCCCTGTTGCCTATTAATGTGAATGAGGCCATGCTGTAACCGCCTCACAACTGCTTGCATTGCATGTGGTTGTGGCATACCAGTCCTGCATTTAGGGGGTTAAAACAGGTGGAGAGGAGGCAACATATTGCCTCCTCACTGCCTGTCAAATGCCTCTGATAAGCAATCTGACCATGGCTCGCTGTTCAGCGTAGTGGCAGTCCTTACCCCCCCTTTTGTGAATGATCCCTAAAAATACAATCCAAATAGTTTAGAAAAGCAGTTCTGCTCATACAGTTCTCTGCTCCAGATTCCTGTTACTCATTTTCCACCAACAGCACAACGCACACACGTGTTAATTCTTCTACTACTCTGTAAAGACTGAGCCAGATGGTCAGTGATCCAGGCAGTGCAAGTCAGAACATGAAACTGTTTGTTTTGCACTGTAGTGCAGGGGAAGACAGAGCAAGTTAGGACTCAGAAAAAAGTGTTCCATTCCACTGCTCTGAAAGTTAGGCTTAATTCACACTAGGGTTATTCAAATCGCGGGCGAAATTTATGCGATTCTGTCCACATTTTGAAAATGCACTGTAAAAGTATGAAAATGCGTAATCGTGTGCTCAGTTGCCATTCATTTCAATGGCACCTGAAAACACATTTTTGCCGTGATCATGGAGTGTTTTTTCCATGTGACAAATGTGCCACGATTACACAAACAAAATCGCGGGACTCACAACGCCCAAAAAAAAGGTTCATCTTACTGGAGGCTGCTATTTTTCTGAAGCCCAGAGTAATTGCTTTCTTATTGAAAATTCTTTCCCTTTCCTTAGTCTCTAAAACTATGGGGGAGATTTACTACAACTGGAGCACTTAGAATCTGGTGCAGCTGTGCATGGCAGCCAATCAGCTTGTTCAATTAAGCTTTGACAATAAAACCTGGAAGTTGATTGGTTTTTATGCAGAGCTGCACCAGTTTTTGTACACTCCAGTTTCAGTAAATCTCCCCCTATATGTTACTCTCTAGTAAAAATACATGCATTTCCAGCCTGATTAGTATGTCTTGGTTCAGCTAGAGAGGAAGGCTGTAGAAGCTTTTAAAGTATATTTAAACGCTCACCTTATAAAACATCCCATTCAGTTTAAAATAGAAATGAATGGCAAAACATTTGTGCATACATATAAAAAACATTATAAAAAAAAAACATTATAAATACATTTTTTTCCCCCTTTTATATAAGTTATCAAATACCCTTTGTTCTCAGCTATATAAGGAGCTGAGGGAGGAGAAACTGCCTCAGCTCCTTCTTTTCCTTCAAAAGCTCCTTGGTTGCTTTTGCAGTGTGTTTTAGATCATTGTCCATCTGTACTGTGAAGCGCCATCCAATCAACTTTGCTGCATTTGGCTGAATCTGGCCAGAAAGTATATCTCTAAACACTGCACAATTCATCCGGCTGCTTCTGTCTTCTGTCACATCATCAATAAACACCAATGACCCAGTGCCACTGGAAGCCATTATGCCTATGCCATCACACTGCCTCCACCATGTTTTACAGAGGACTTTGTGTACTTTGACTCATGAGCTGTTCAAAGCCTTCTCCACACTTTTTTTTTCCATGCCTTTTTATGTTGCTGAGCTCACCAGTGTATTCTTCTTTTCTCATAATGTACCAAACTGTTGATTTGGCTACTGCTAATGTTGCTGCTATCTCTGGATTTGTTTCATTTTTGAAGCCTTACAATGGCCTGTTTCACTTGCATGGACGCTCCTTTGAACGCATGATGTAGGTTCAGAGCAATAGATTCCAAATGCAAATACTACACTTAGAATCAACTCCAGACCTTTTTCCTGTTTATTTGATGAAGAAATGATGGCGTAGCCCACACCTGGCCATGAAACAGCTTTTGATTCAATTGTCCAATTACTTTTGGGCTGTATTTCCTAAACCCTTGCTCCAATTTGGATGTACATACCCTCAAATTGAACATGAGAGTGTGTACTTTCAGCCCATATCAATTATATAACTATAGCTTGAATATGTTTTGGTAAATACCTGAAAAAAACTGAAATTGTGCCTGTGTCCAAATATATATGGAACCAACTATGTATGTGTGTATATATATATATATATATATATATATATATATATATATATAGATAGACAGATAGATAAATATACACACACACACAAACTATATTGCCAAAGGTATTGGGGTGCCTGCCTCTACACGCACATGCACTTTCATGGCATCCCAGCTTAGTCCATAGGGTGGAGCATTGAATTGGCCCACCTTTTGCAACTATAACAGCTTAAATTCTTCTGGGAAGGCTGTCCACAAGATTTAAGAGTGTGTCTATATGGGAATGTTTTGACCATTCTTCCAGAAGCACATTTGTGAGGTCAGGCACTAATGTCTAACGAGGAGGCCTGGCTCACAGTCTTTAATTCATCCCAAAGGTGTTTTATAGGGTTGAGGCCAGGACTCTCTGCAGGCCAGTCAAGTTCCTCTACCTCAAACTCGCTCATCCGTGTGTTTATGGACCTTCTTTGTGCAGTGGTGCGCAGTCATGTTGGAACAGGAAGGGGACATCCCTAAACTGTTCCCACAACGTTGGGAGCATGAAATTGTCCAAAATGTCTTGGTATGCTGATGCCTTAAGAGTTCCCTTCACTGGAACTAAGGGGCAAAGCCCAACCCCTGAAATACAACCCCACACCATAATCCCCCCTCCACCAAATTTTACACTTTGCACAATGCAGTCAGGCAAGTACCGTTCTCCTGGCAACCGCCATACCCAGTAATGTCTATCAGATTACCAGACAGGGAAGTGTGAGTGGTCAATTCAGAGAACACGTCTCCACTGCTCTAGAGTCTAGTGACTGCATGCTTTACACCACTGCATCCGATGCTTTGCATTGCACTTGGTGATGTAAGGCTTGGATGCAGCTGTTTGGCCATGAAGCTGTCTATGCACTGTTGTTCTGTTAATCTGAAGGCCACATGAAGTTTGGAGGTCTTTAGCTCATTGACTCTGCAGACAGTTGGCGACTTCTGTGCACTGTGCGATTCAGCTTGCGCTGACCCCACTCCGGCATTTTATGTGGCCTACCACTTCCTGGCTGAGTTGCTGTTGTTCCCAGTTGCTTTCACTTTGTTATAATACCACTAACAGTTGACCGTGGAATATTTTAGTAGGAAGGAAATTTCATGGATGGACTTATTGCATGGGTGGCAACCTATGGCTTTTAACATGTTTTTGTTTGTTTTCCTTGGGGGATTTTTAAAAATAATATCAGTAAATGTTTGTTTGAACACACTATGATTTGTGTGTCCTTTTAATGTGTTTCTTTTTTTTAATACTAGAAACCAACTTGACTTTTTTCTTTATTACTTATGGGTTTTCTTTTTCCAGATTTCAGGCTTTTGGTACAAGAAGAATGTTCTCAGTGTTCAGCAGGTTCTTTACATCCCTAATGGCATAGCAAAAATCTTCTCCCATACTGTAGAACCAATATTCTCATCTGCCGAGCCTGTCGGTGAGGCCAGTATTGGGATGGGAGCAACTGTTGACATACAAAGGCAGCAGAGGATAGAGCTGCTGGACCAGCAAATAATGCTTTCCCAAATTTCTCAGCTGGGAAGACGACGGCAAGAGCAGGTAAAATGCTTCTCATAGTGAGATGTTTGTTAAATGTATTAACTTGGCAAATTGAATATACCAAATAGTAGTAAAGGTTGGAAAAGGAGTACAAGTGCAGCAAGTTCAACCAGTGCAAAGTTTACACCTCAGCTGTGTTAGAGTATTGGTTATTCTAAAATGTGCATAGATTTAACCAGTTAACTTTTCCTATAAAATTATACTGAGGTCATATAATATGGCCATTTCTTATTTGTATTTTATAGGACACAGGAGCTTAGTCTTAGACCATATGGTTATGCAGCTACCTTCAGGTGATTGGACACTGGCAAATAATGCTGTAAAGACAGCCCTAGCATAACCCCTCCCACTCGCAGCAAGTATCGGGTTTTGCTAATGTCCTTAGGTGAACAGATTTCTTCTCTGCTCTGAGAGAAGCAAACCATTTCTTCATACCTTATTATTAAGAATTACTGTATAAAAAGGGTGGTGTGTTTAGGTGGGGATGTGTGTATGAGGTTTATGGTTTTAGTTAAGATGAGCTGCTTAAGTGGTTAGTGATGGAATAGAATGTTATTTATGTCTTTACAGCTTGCAGCAATAGTCCTCAGTGAAAGCTTGTTGTATTTATACAATAACATATCTATCTATTTGTCTGTCTGTGCTATTTTTTCATTAAGACTCTTTTAGCAAGTCTTCTAGCTGCTACAAGGCTACTGCAGCTTCCACCTTGCAACGTTCTAAATTCATCTGAATCGATTTCGGTCTGCTCCTTGGTGGACTCTACCTGGATCCCTCCAGGAAGCTGTTACAGGGCTTGCCTATAATGTTGCTTGCAGCACTAGGTCCTTGGTTTGGTGTTGACCTAGCCAAGTAGTGCAGCACAATGAGTTAGATGCAGGGTGCTACACAGGCCTGGGGGGGGCATGATCCATCTGTTAAAAGATAAGTTCACCTTTGGAACATGTTACATGTTCCACCCATTTTTAGAGTGGAACATGTAACATGTTCCCATAGCCGCAGCCACCGTCCGTCGCCCCCCTCCCTCTGACAGGTAATACGGGGAGAAATCTCCCCGTACTATCTGTTAGATTTGAAAACAGCATGGTCGTGTGCCCACATGGCCGCGTACAACTGAGGGTAGTTAATTGTCCAGACGGATATGGGTATTCTGGTAAGAACATTAAAAAAACTTAATATATGTGAACTAGCACTTAAAGAGAGATGTTGCTTTTCATCCTGTTACTATGTGAGTTGTTTGAAAGCTTGTTTCTATTGTTAAATATTGATTTTAAAATGGAGAGCACTAGATCCTCTAGCTTTTACCGATTTGAGGGGCATATAGTACGTTGACTCTGTGCATGGGCCTCCATGAAATGATCCCAGTTCTTCCAATTTTGGGTGGAGATGTGGAGTATCCCTCTTCCTAGTCAGATATTGCCTGTTTTGGACTCCTTATTTATCAGAGGTCAGTTTCAAGGTAAGCAGACTACCTATCAGAGTACACAGGGATATTGGAGTGAACCCGAGACATTCCAAACCTCTGGGTCTAGTATGCTATTTTGAAGGAGTACAAAATAGATTTGCCATCTCTGCCCCCTCTTGCTTCTACCCTCCAATCTACAAGCATCAGCACAAAAACAAGCAGATTTATTGCCCACTTTGTGACAACTTTTGTCACCGGGGGGGATGGTATTGATACCAATTCCTTGGGGGGGAGGTTTTCCTGTGGTTTTCATTCAAAACCTACACAGTCCCCAAATCAAATGGGTGTGTTCGGCCAATTCTGGACCAGCACTTCAAAATATATAGCACTACCATTCAGGTTCACAAAAGGTACTTTCCCAGCTTCTTGCTCTTCTGCGGACCCAGGGCATTCATGTGACAGGGTACATGGACAACCTTTTACTGAAGAACTTCTCTTCCATGGCATTTGCAGCCAGTGTACAAAGAACTATTCAGTTATTTCAAACCTTCAACTGGTAAATCAAATTTTCAAAGTCTGCTCTGTAGCCCTCACATTATCTGGAGTTCCTGGGTTTAATCTGGAACACAGCCCAAGCCAGAATCTTCCTTTCTCCAGAAAAGGTTACCTTTTAAAGTCCCACACAAACCCTCAGATCTAAAAGGCACTCCTCAGTTTGTTTCTGCATGAGGGTTCTGGGCTGAATAGTAGTCTCCTTCAAGACAGTTCACTTTCTCCATTTCCACTCCAGGACTCTTTAACTCAGCATCTCATGTCATGGAACAAACAGGTCCACTCCCTGAACCTGTCTATGCAACCAGACAATCGTCTCACTGGCCTGGTGAGTCTTCAACTCTGCCCTGGAGTTGGGAAAGCCTTTCCACATCCTAGAAAGTGGTGACAATGGATGCCACCCTTACTGATTGCTGGAGGGGGGGGATTTACAACTTCACTGTTCAGGGGACATGGTCTTCAGCGGATTTAGGACTCACCATCAACATTGTGGAGACCTCACACTATCTGTGCATAAAATGGACCCCCAGTCTTGGTGCAGTTGGACAATGGCACAGCAGTGGTTTACATAAACCATCAGGGGGGCACCAGAAGTGGAACTGCCCTAACCCTAGGTTCACACCTAAGCGTTTTCTGCAGAGTTTTGCAGAAATGCAGTACAGTCCATTTAACATGATTTCTAGAGATGAGCGAATCGAACTTGGCGAAGTGGAATTCGTTTTGAATATTAGGAAAAATTCGATTCGCATCGAATCCGAATTTTAGCAAACTTCGGATGCACGAATCGAATTTTCCCCGATCAGCCGGCAAAAGTGTCACTGCAGAGAGCTCCGCTATTTCTGACAGTTCTCTGACAGTTCTGACAGTTCATTTACAGCGGTTGAAACATTGTATCTATTTGTTTCCATTTAGGATACAGATGTTTTTATTCGGAAATAAATAGATACAATGTTTCAACCGCTGTAAATGAACTGTCAGAACTGTCAGAGAACTGTCAGAAATAGCGGAGCTCTCTGCAGATACACTTTTTGCTGTACTGGAATTCTTCTTCTTTTCATTCTTCTTCTTCTTTTCATTCTTCTTTTCATTCTTCTTCTTCTTCTTCTTTTCATTCTTCTTCTTCTTCTTTTCATTCTTCTTTTCTTCTTCTTTTCATTCTTCTTCTTCTTCTTTTCTTTCTTCTTCTTCTTCTTTTCTTTCTTCTTTTCTTTCTTCTTCTTCTTTTCTTTCTTCTTCTTCTTCTTTTCATTCTTCTTTTTTCATTCTTCTTGTCTTCTTCTTTTCATTCTTCTTTTCATTCTTCTTTTCATTCTTCTTTTCATTCTTCTTTTCATTCTTCTTTTCATTCTTCTTCTTCTTCTTTTCATTCTTCTTCTTCTTCTTTTCATTCTTCTCTTCTTTTCATTCTTCTTCTTCTTCTTTTCATTCTTCTTCTTCTTCTTTTCATTCTTCTTCTTTTCATTCTTCTTTTCATTCTTCTTCTTCTTTTCATTCTTCTTCTTTTCATTCTTCTTTTCATTCTTCTTCTTCTTTTCATTCTTTTTCTTCTTCTTTTCATTCTTCTTCTTTTCATTCTTCTTCTTCTTCTTTTCATTCTTCTTCTTCTTCTTCTTCTTCTTTTCTTTTCTTCTTTTCTTTTCATTCTTCTTTTCATTCTTCTTCTTTTCATTCTTCTTCTTTTCATTCTTCTTCTTTTCATTCTTCTTCTTTTCATTCTTCTTCTTTTCATTCTTCTTCTTCTTCTTCTTTTCATTCTTCTTCTTCTTCTTCTTTTCATTCTTCTTCTTCTTCATTTTCTTTTCATTCTTCTTTTCATTCTTCTTCTTCTTCTTTTCATTCTTCTTCTTTTCTTCTTTTCATTCTTCTTTTCCTTCTTTTCCTTCTTTTCTTCTTCTTCTTCTTCTTCTTTTCATTCTTCTTTTCATTCATCTTCTTCTTCTTTTCATTCTTCTTTTCATTCTTCTTTTCATTCTTCTTCTTTTCATTCTTCTTTTCATTCTTCTTTTTTTTTCATTCTTCTTCTTTCATTCTTCTTTTCATTCTTCTTTTCATTCTTTTTCTGCTTCTTTTCTTCTTCTTCTTCTTCTTTTTTTCATTCTTCTTCTGCTTCTTTTCATTCTTCTTTTCATTCTTCTTCTCTTCTTCTTTTCATTCTTCTTTTCATTCTTCTTCTTCTTCTTTTCATTCTTCTTTTCATTCTTCTTTTCATTCTTCTTTTCATTCTTCTTCTTCTTTTCATTCTTCTTTTCATTCTTCTTCTTCTTTTCATTCTTCTTTTCATTCTTCTTTTCATTCTTCTTCTTCTTTTCATTCTTCTGCTTCTTTTCATTCTTCTGCTTCTTTTTCATTGTTCTGCTTCATTTCTTCTTTTCATTCTTCTTTTCATTTTCTTTCTTATTTTCATTCTTCTTTTCATTCTTCTTTTCATTTTCATTCTTCTTCTTCTTCTTTTCTTCTTTTCATTCTTCTTTTCATTCTTTTTCATTCTTCTTCTCATTCTTCTTTTCATTCTTCTTTTCATTCTTCTTTCTCATTCTTCTTTTTCCTTCTTCTTCTTCTTCTTTTCATTCTTCTTTTCATTCTTCTTCTTCTTCTTTTCATTCTTCTTTTCATTCTTCTTCTTCTTTTCATTCTTCTTTTCATTCTTCTTCTTCTTTTCATTCTTCTTTTCTTTTCTTTTCATTCTTCTTCTTTTTTCTTCTTCTTCTTTTCATTCTTCTTCTTCTTTTCATTGTTCTGCTTCTTTTCATTGTTCTGCTTTCTTTTCATTGTTCTGCTTCTTCTTTTCATTCTTCTTTTCATTCTTCTTTTCATTCTTCTTCTTCTTTTTCATTCTTCTTCTTCTTCTTTTCATTCTTCTTTTCATTCTTCTTTTCATTCTTCTTTTCATCTTTTCATTCTTCTTCTCATTCTTCTTTTCATTCTTCTTCTCATTCTTCTTTTCATTCTTCTTTTCATTCTTCTTCTTCTTTTCATTTTCTTCTTCTTATTTTCTTTTCTTCTTCTTCTTATTTTCATTCTTCTTCTTCTTCTTTTCATTCTT